CTAAATTACTAGTCTATTCATTGGACTTCACACTCTCAAAGGTGGAGTGGAAAGAAACTGATATTGGCTCAGGAACAGAAAGAACTGGTCTTTGTTAACCAGCATGATGACCGCAGGCAAGTCTGGGACCCTCTCCAAACCTTCGTTCCCGTGGCTGAAAAGTGGGAGAATTGCAAGAGAGGATCCCTGGGCTCCTACCAGTCCGTCCACTTCGCTGTAAAGGCTGCTGAAACAAAGGCCACCCGCTCCCTAGTCTGTACCCGATGGGCCACAACTCAAAATTCTTGCTGCTCAATTCCCTTTGCGGTGCGACAGCAGGAGCGCCCTGGTCTCCAGCCAAGGCCTCCGCACTCTGCCGTCTCTGCCCGCTCCATCAGTAACTTGCTTTAGCAGCTGTTGCCCAAAGTTTTCCAGAGCGCCTGGAGACCCGGCTGTCAGTCAATCGCAAAAAGAGCAGGGGCGTGGGGAGCCGAGCCTAGGAGCCAGTCCGGGAAATCCCGAAGCCGCTCCAGCGGCCAGGCAGGGAGTGACAGGTGCGACGCAGCACTGGACAAGCCAGAGCGCGCGTGTGGGCGCGCGAGGGAGGCGGCCGCCTGGCTTCCTCTTCTGGCAGCACTCCCGACGCCCCCAGCCCCGCTTCAGGCCCCGCGGCGCCCAGGACTCCTCAGCCTCCGGGAGCCCTGCGCCATGGCCCGGGCTCAGACTTTGAAGCAGGAAGAACTGGGAACCGCCGGGGCAGCCCGGCCCTCAGGTTCCTTCCCGCGTAAGCCAGGGCGGTCGCGGGGTGGGCGCACGCGCACCCGTGAGCGCCGCCGTAACCCCTTCCTCCCCGCGCGCCCCCCCCCCGCACTCCCACCCAGGCGCCACTCACCATCGATGTCCCCCAGAGTCAGCTCGTCGCCCAGCTCCGTGAGGGTGTCCATGGTCTCCAGACCGCCCAGCTCGCTGCTCTCGTCCATCGCCCAGCTTTACGCAGAGTCCCCCGTGAGATCCGGCTCAGGGAGTCGCGGAGGCGGTGCCGCCGCCACCGCCCATGACACCCGACAGCCCCCACCTGGTACCGCCTCACCGGCCCGTGCCAGCCGCCGCCATGTTTGAGCTGCGCCCCGACTCCACGGAAGGGGCGGGGCAGGATTCCCCCGCCCCGGGCCGCGCCCACTGCGGCCCCGCCCCTACCCTCCGCGCCTCCATGTTTGTTGTCAATGGGACCAGGCCCCGCTTAGCCAATCGGCGCGTGAAGCGGCTCGTGGGGTGATGGCGCGTCATCGATCAGCAGCTCAGATTTGCATAGAGGGACTCCGCCCCTCGCGGTCTCCAAGCACTAGCAGAAAGTAGCCGCCTAGTCCTCGACCCAGCCTTCCTTTGGTTTAAAGGAGCCACTACTTTCCCGTTGGGTCAGCTCCAGGAGCAACTTCGTCGACAGTCCGGGAATAGAAGGGTTAATGCACTGCTTCCCGGCGCTACCTACCACAACCCTCTTTACGTTGTGAGCACATTACGTCATTTTTCCAGTTGCCTCTCCCTCACCCTAGCCCTGGTAGAATCATAGTACCCCAACACTCAGGGATAGACCGTCACACTTTATTCCACCCAAGACTGGACAGGGTCTTGAATCTGGGCCTCAATCTTGGGAACCACATAATCATTGAAGGCCTTTAAACAAAGTCATTTGCCCAAGCTCTAGAGGTGGGACTCCGAGGATTCTGAAGCATCCCACTCCAGCAGTCAACTCAGTGTCATCTTACAGGTGGTCACATAATACACAAAGTTGCAAACTTCCAAGAATTTATCTCGAGGAAATAGATTAGTGTTCAAAGAAATGCTGGATAAATACATATACCCAAAGACAATCATCACAGAGTTCTCTGTAACTAGGGAAAACAAAGAAACCCAGGAAGGCACCATATAAATAACTTCCACACCGTAAATTACCATGGCATCCTTAGAAAATATGGAAAGGACATTAGAAAAAACATAAGTGTGTGTTTATTGACAGGAAAAAAGCTTTCATGGCATATATGGGAAAATCTTCCTGTGAGTGTGAGTCAGCTATTTTAGAGGCTGTAAAGAACATACAGGTTGTATAGAGAAACTTGTGGACCCATTAATCCACCTTTTGTCCCTGGGCTGGTTAAGCAACTGTCTTTAAGCCTCAGTTTTGTCATCTTCAAAATAGCGCAGGAACAACCCTGTAATTTTCACATTTATTTCTGTAGCAAGCAAACAGCTCTTAACTTGTAGGTGTTAAGAGTTGCAGCACTGAGGGGAAAGGTTTCCACAATGCAAGTGTTGCAGCTCTGAGGGGAAAGGTAACAAACCTCACAAGAGATTTATTGGCAAAGACACAAGAGTGTGGCTGGGAGAGGCATCAAAGAACTGAGCTGGAGGCAGGTTTTACATAGGGTTTCTTGGTGGGGATGGGGCAGGGGGTGGAGGTTTCCTGGTGGGATTCTGTGGCCTGATCTTGGACTGCTGCTGGTTTTTTTTTTTTTTTTTTTTTTTTTTTGGTAGGACAGAGTTTGGCCACCTGTGTCTTGAGGAGTTAAAAACTGCCCTTAGGGCCCTAAGAATAGTGTGTGGGGAAGGGGGCAGGACTTGGCCACTTGAGGGTGTGTGTGTAATAAAAACACTGAACATAAAAGTAACAGACAATGGTATGAGTGACCAAGAAAAAGAGGTGTGATGAGACTAACAAGGAACCTGACTTGTGATGTTAAGATTCTGGCCTGTGGCCAGCAAGGTGGTTCGGTGAACAGAGGTGATTGCCACTAAGCTGGATGACCCAAGTCCAAACCCTGGGACACAAAAAGTAGAGGGAACCAATTCCCATAACTTCTCTGTCCTTTATGTGTGTGCTTACCCAACTGGCCTGAAAAATGCCAGTTGAAATGAAGGCTCAGTAGAAATGGTGGGGGCTGAAGAGATGGCTCAGCCATAAAGAGCACTGACTACTCTTCCAAAGTCCTGAGTTCAATTCCCAGCTCCCCACATGGTGGTTCACAACCATCTGTAATGAGATCTGGTGCCCTCTTCTGGCATGGAGACACACATGCAATGTATACATAATAATAAATACATCTTTTTAAAAAAAGAAAAGAAATGGTTTGCAACACATGCCTTTTCTTTTGCCCCCCTTTTTTTTTTTTTTTTTTTTTTTTTTTTTTTTTAAGACAAGGTTTTATGTTGTCCTTGCTGGCCTTGAACTAGGTTTGTTGTCTTTTTTTTTTTTTTTCCTCTCTCAGCAAAACCCTGACATCTCCTTCTTGCCTTGCCCACATAACTGAATGTCTCTTCCAGTTGGCTCCCACTAGGAGGCCAGCCTGTTAGACTGCATAAGCCATTCCCTAGGACCTAGGTTGTTCATTTGAATGGACTGGACTAAGTGTTACATTGAGCTATCTACTGTGGTTTGGTTAGCTCTGTACATCATAGAACTATTTCCCACTGACTTCCTCTAAGAGCTCTGCTTTCAAGCTTCCTCCATCATCTTTCAGCTATCACTACCTCTAGGAAGCTTTCTGGCTGGATGAATCAATGGTAATGATGGTTGTAAGGTGGTAGTGGGGCAGATTTAAGTCTAGATGATTTGACTTCCATGAGGAAAAGAACAGAGAAGGCAAGCTAGGCCAAATACCTACTGCTTTAAAGAATAGGAGAGGGAAGACACTAGAAGAGCCAGAGCTGACTTTGACCAAGGACAGAGCTCAGAAAAACAATCCAGAAGGACCCTCCCCAAAAGCCCTCAGCATCTATCTGGACAGAGACTAGGGAGGGCAGAGGAAAATGGAGGGCTGAGGAAGGGAAGAAGGAACATCTAGCAATGGCTGTCAGCCCTAGAGACATCTAACAATGGCTGGAGACATTTTTACTTGTCCTAACTGTGGGACTGCTACTGGCATCAGGTGTGGCCAGGGATACTGCTAAATATCCACAGCACTCAGGATAACCTTCTCACACAACAGTGAAGTGATCCAAAATGGGGACAGTGACACTGTTGGGATACTCTGCCTTAAGAGATAATTAAGGGGTTCTCAGGGTCTCCTGGAGTGCCATGGACTGGACTTAGAAGACTGGAACATCCAAAACCACACTGTCACTGTTGCCAACATGAGCACCCCAAGCAATGGGCATGAGAAAATATACACACTCTGTTACCTAGGCCACTGCCACTACCTAAACACACAATTCAGTCACATAATTGAATCCCAGCTGCTGAGTGAGCTGGAGAAGCAAGTGCCCTCTCTCAAGTGATTTGTGTTTTTGTATTCTAAACACACCCACCCAACCACCACCAGACATGGTGATGCATGCCTTTAATCCTGGCACTCAGGAGGCATGTGGATCTCAGCTAGTTCAAAATCAGCCTGATCTACAAAGTGAGTTCGAGGACATTGAGAGCTACATAATGAGACCATGTCTCAAAGAAACAAAAAAATAAATAAACAAAAACATAGGTCAACAGCCAAGCTGTTCTAGTTCTGTAGAAGTTCTTCCTTCAGTTAAAGGAGGAAGCATTTTCCTTGCAAAGCCAGCAACTACAACCTCTCTCAAAGATGAAGTGAACAGGGAGGACCCTAATGGCTGGCTCTGGCCCCTAGTCCCACAAACACTAGCACAGGTTCAACAGATGATGGGTAGAACTCATCTTTTCAATAGACCAGTAAATCACAAACTCTAGTGTTGTCATCTCATATAAACCTCACAAGAATTTGGCTAGGTCATACAGCTGGAAAAGGACAGGGCTGGGAATGCAGCCCAGGTCTCTTGACCACTGTGTATCTACTTCTGCCCTACAGGGGAAACAAGCATTTGTGATGGGAAAACTTCTCCAGTCCTCATCCCAAATACTTCTCATCCCCCTTACTTTTCCTGAATGACCCTTGGGATGCAAGCTACTCTGGGCTCTTTCATGAAGCCTCCCCAACACCTGGTTTCCCTTTGCTATCCTGGCCAGTAGAAAGGATAGCCCCCAAGGAAATAGTTTAGAGCTTGGCAAAGGATTCAGACATCATCAAATTTATTTTACCAATGAAGGCACAGCACAGGGAAGGGAGAGAGTAGGCCAGGGTCAGTCAGGCTAAGACTGAGGTCTCACGAGCACCGTCAGTAAGAGGAAGAGTGGACTTGGAGGTAGGAGAATACCTGGGGAAGATGCTGGGATGATGGGTGTCTCCATGCCTTTAAGAGATACATTTTGGCTTGGCAAGATCAAAGAGGTGGAACTTTTAATTTCAACAGAGCCAAGGCAGCCACCTACCTTGGGATTCATGGAAATCAGGGTGCCCTCTGAGGGCTTAACTCCTTCCACAGCTTTCTGCCTATGGCCATGGGACTCTGCTTTAACCTCGAACTAGGAAGCCCACTGTCTGATCAATCCAGCTCACAGTAGCCCCATTACAAAGCACAGCCTCCTGTAACCTGTCCCCTACAGCCGCTCCCCACACAGAGGCAGTATCTTTTAGCAGCAGAGACAACAAGTTGTTTGTCCCCTGAACCAACTCAATGACTGTCCCCAGTTATCTGAGAACAGAGATCATGTTCTTTTAAGGTCTCCTTGAAATAAACACCCTCCCAGGACACTTTTTGGGTCCCCTTTCCAAACTGATCCCTCATGAAGGGCAGCAGTGACTGAAGAAGAAGTCTAAACCTGGCTCTTGCTTCTGTGCAATGCAAAGGCTTGGGGCTCCCTCCTGATGAAGCAGAAGCATATCCAGGCTGGTCCTGACATTTTTAAAAGCTACTAGTGCCCTTACAGCCTCCTCATCAGCCTTGGTGATGCCAATGAATTTGCTGGCGAAGCCAGCTGCAAGTATGGCATCTTCAGAGCCAGGTTCTGCTGCTTCCTCACAAAGGGCAGCAGCCAGTCTGCAGCCCTCACTTACCAAGAGGATCCGGACCAGGAGCCCCTTCAGCCAGCCTCCCCAACAGCTTCCCTGCAAGGTCCTGTCTGCAGAACAGTGTCCTCTCAAGGCTCCCTTGGTGTGCCCTAAGACCCCAGAAGCTCAGTCTTTTTGGCCAAGGTTCAGACACAGCTCCAGAGAACCCAGCAAACAGAGTCCCCATCTGGAAGTGGCTGGTGCTCACCATGGTGCTTGGTGCTGCTACACCACAGCCACATGGTTGTGCCTCTTCTGACTTTTGGCTGGCCTCTTGCTGATCTCTTAGGCCCCAAACTGCTCCAGGGCTACAACTCAGACTGGGATCTTGAGATTCTTGGGCCTTTCCGGATCTCTTTCCGCTTCTCCTCCTTCTTCCGGCGTTTTTCTTCTTCCCTCAAGGCCTTCTGGAAAGGGTCAGTGCTAGGAATGAACTGTGAAATGAGCAGACTAGATTTAGTCAAGAGTAGCAAAGAGTTTCCCTGAGATAAATCATGGAATGTAAAACAAGAAGGTTCCTGGAGAAGGCCCTGCCCTCAGAGAGTCCCAGACAAGGAATCAGATGAAAGGGCTCAGGGAAACTGCTGACTAGATCTTGAGATAATCAGGAGCTTGACAGGCAGACAGGAGATTCTAGGCATAGGAGACAGATGCCAGCCAAGGTGTGAACTGGAAAACAAATACTCTCTTCCAGGAAGAGGGAGCAGTATGGCTCTTGGAATACCTTCTTGACACTCTTCAGGAGGGAAGCAAGCTAGGAGTCCTAGACAACAGGTGCTGCTACCAGTAAATGAGGAACAGTCCCCAGGAGAGGAGCATATAGGAGCAAAATGGATCAGAAGTGAAAGAGATGGGAATGCCAGACAGGCAGAGATGGGAGAGGACAAGGATTTGAGGACAACTTCAACTTCAAGGTCACGACTCTTCTCACTTCATCCTTTCCAGAAGCTAACCCATAGCTTCTGTTGGTCTCTGTGGCTAAATAACTATCAAACCTGAATTGCTGTGTCTATTTGTCTCTGTAACCAATGGTTGGTTTCCATGACTACCCTCCTACAGACCTTTGCACAAGCTATGGTCTAGGCCCAGAATGCCCTTTCTAGTTCTGTCTACTTTGTCTCATTTGTTCCAACTCTGCTACCACTGCCCTTGGGACCTCTTCCATGGCTACCTCCTCACTGGCACCCTCTCTTCAGTTTTGTAGTAATTTACTCTTGTGTTTCTCCTTTGTGGTCACCTACTTTGTGCCTGTCATCTATAATAGCATGTTATATGAACATGGAATGTTGGTACTGGATGTAGTGGTCCACTATGTCCCACAACAGTCAATGTATATTTTTAATAAAATGAATGAATGGGCTCATTAGAATATACAACACAAAAGCATCCAAAACTCAGGTTGTGAGATATATTCTTAGGGTAAAAATGACAAGAATGATCAAGGTAAGCATTAAAAACAAACTAAGAGTGCCACCTTGTGGCATAACCTACCTGCCACATAAGTAGTCCCTGCCTCTGGGAAAAGGGGGATATCCCAAGAGTGGTCCAGAGACAGAAATGATGTTTTCAGGTCATTCAGCTAGTGGAATGCCCAACTAACAAGGACTAATACAACCAGGCAGCCCACTCACCTCCCAGATAGCTGTCATCCTTGTCTCCTAAGAGAGTCTCTTACTGAAAAGTCCATGCTAAATACAAAAAGTAGACAGGCTGGGGACCATTTGTATATTATGTGTAAAGCCCTGGGTTCAAGCCCCAGTCTGGGGGGGTGGGAAGGTGGGGCTAACAGGATCATTTCCAGAGTTGCTCCTATAGTCATATCTAAAAGCATATTATGATAATGTTACACTAAATTTAATCTGGAAGTTATCTGACTCAGCCTCCTGTGTGACAGAAGCATATATGACTGCAGGGTGAGAAGAGCCTACTTGCAGAAATTAAGCATCTCCCTAGGTTCCCCTTTGTGGCAAAAAGACTGTCTCCATGGCCCTGAGCACTTCTGCATGCGCTGACTGGGAACACCTAGAATCAAGGTCTTGCCCCGGGCTACCGATCAGGGTTATGATTAGAGCAAGCGCCTGGAGGCTGGGAAGAAGTGGCAGCTACTGTGATGGGGAAAACCCTATCCCCTACCCTTACTACATAGAACAGGCAATGGCTCAACAGGAATCTCAGAGGTTCTGCTAGATATAAATAGTCATGCATGGTTCACTGTGGTTCCACTAGCTTAAAAACTAAGGTGATGAAGAGAAATTAGTAAATGTTGCTGATGTGGCAATGAGTGGTGACATAAGTCTATAATCCCAGCACTTGGGAGGCAAGTGCAAGTAGATCAGTAGTTGAGGCTAGCCTGGGCTTCATGAGACACTATCTCAAAACAAATAAGGAAATAACAGAGAAACCCCAGGAAAATAGTTGCAGGTCTGTTTGCTATTTTTTCAAGGCCATGTGTCTCAAGTTGGCCCATGACTGGCAGCTGAAAACTATAGTCTTAATCAGTAAGAGTGGGTCACTGTTCTCAAACTGTCTGTGAAATCTATATGCGTTGATAAGGTTCCTTCCAGCAGCTTAGAGTCTGGGTACTAGTTAGATACTCATATAACCAACTCCCAGTAAAAAACCATGGCACTAGGTCTCTAGTGAGTTGGCAAAGGAAGCTCACACATGTTACAACCTGCTGCTGGGGGAATTAAATATATCTGTGACCCTGGGAAAGAATGCTGAAAGCTAGCTTCCCTGCATTTTGTCCCAAGTGTCAAGGCTAGTGTTAAATTCTGGAGCTCAAGTGATAGTCCTAGTCAACCATCCAAATAGCGGGGATCACATGTGTGCCACCGCAATTGGCCAACAGGTCTCTATAACCTTGGAAGAACTCCCTTGTCCCACTCATATCTGAACCTCTGAGAGGTCTAGGTGACAAAAAAGAGAAATTATAGGTATCAGGATGAGACCCGTGAATAATTCAGCAATGACTCAAGACTCTAGAAAGTATAGAGAGCCATACAGTGGCTCTAACCGTCACAAGGTGTGTAATTCCCATCCACATTAACACAGTCAATACTGTGAACTAGTCTGTGTCCACACCTCAGAGTACCTATGCACACACAAAGGATGGTGTAACCTTATTTTATTCTCATGGATAAACTATTTTTTTTAATTCCTTCCCCCACTCCAGATAGAGCTTTTCTGTGTAACCCCAGCTGTCCTGGTACTCATTCTGTAGATCAGGCTGGCTTTGAACTCAGAGATTCACCTGCCTCTGTCTCCCGAGTACCAAGATTAAAGGCATTCGCCAACCCCACATGGCCTCTCTTTTATTCCTAATGCCTCAGCAGCTTAGATTATACCACACAGGCAACTGAGGCTAAAATTCTGCAGTTAAATAAATGCCTTCAGTGTACTGAAATTCAAACAATGTACTGAAGACTTAAAAGTGTTAAGTGGAAGAGAAAGGGCCACGGGAATGTCTATCCATAGTGGATGACTGTTGCTTTGGGCCCATCTATTGCTTCCTATAATTATTAACAAATGCATTAAATGAGATTGGCAGGTAAAAAAAAATCTAAATTTTAGGTGGATGCAACAGATAATACATTGATAGTTCAAAATGAAGCACACTAATCCACCCAAGTCTTGGTTGAGTCAGGGACCCTGGAGAGCATGATAACTGCAGTCAGTTCTGCAAGATGGATTCACCCCGGTACTCAGAATAGCCAGGTGTGGTGGCTCATGCCCATAATCTCAGTACTCAGAAGGATTGCTAAAGCAGAAATGTGGAGTTTAAGGTCAACTGGAGTTATAGAGTAAGACTCTCAAAAATCAAATCAACAATCAAAAACCAATGCATCTGACTACAGCCTCAATAAATGACATGAAACAAACTGAATGGATTCAGTCACTGCCTCTCAGTAACATTAATCTCAGGCAGTAGGCTATGGAACAAGCAATTTGCAATGGTGCTGGGCACTTTCCTATGTTCTTGCTGAGCAAACTAATAATGCAAAATCTGGTAAGTTCTCTTATTTGGTTGATTTTATTTTTGTTTTGTTTTAAGGCAATTTTAATTCAGGTTGGCCTCAAATTCACTATAGTCAAGGTGGTCTCTTGGTCCAGCCCCTTCTAGCAACTTTACCAGACCATTTTTCTTTTCTTTCCTTTTCTTTTCTTCCTTTCTTCTTTCCTTCCTTCCTTTCTCCCTTCCTTCTTTTCTTTTTTCTTTTTTTTTTTTTTTTTTTTTTTTTTTGGTTTTCCAAAACAAGGGTTCTCTGTATTGCTTTGGAGGCTGTCCTAAAACTCGCTCAGTAGACCAGGCTGACCTCAAATTCACAGAGATCTACCTGCCTCTGCCTCCCGAGTGCTGGAACTAAAGGCATGTGCCACCATTGCTCAGCCCAGACCATTTTTCAGGACTATTTTTGCAGAGAGACTAATCTTGGAAGGATGAGGTATCTTTCCCTGACAAAGCATAGACCTGTTTAATTCACTATAAAGAGAGATGTCAAACTTTCCAAGCACAGTGGTCTGCAGGTATAATACAAACCCACTGCATGCATAGCATCTTCCTGGCCTTCCTTGTAAAGACCTGGAAGAATAAGGGTACCCAAGAGGATGAGCCCAAAAGTCTAGTTACTGCCTTTGCTGCATTGAAGAGCATCTATGACCTGAGGGCATCTATAAACAGTAGAAGGCTACTTTGTCAGCCTTAGGCCCATCAGACTCAACACTCCTCTCTACACAGTTGTCAGTCCTAGTTCCCTAGGCAAAGGAGAGGCCTTTCCTTCCCATCCTTCCTGGCCCTGCCCTGCTCCCTTTGATCCCTTCCTCCCTATATGTGTCACCATCTGTCTTCTCCAACTGCAGCTGTTAGCCCCCAGAGCCAATTTTAGAGCCCTAGATTAAAGGCATGTGTAGGAGTAAGAATAGAAGCCCCAGTGTACCAGTGTCAGAGGCTCAGGGCAGGGAAGAACATGATCTGACCTCACCTGGTCACCCTGACACTCACAACTTGGGGTATATATTTTACAATGAGATAAAGATGCTCACAGCCTCAAGAATCACCCCCAATCTCCATTCCAACCCCAGCTATGGTCCCCATTCAGGGAAGAACAATGACTTGTCAAAACCTTCAGTGACCTGAGTAATGGTTTCTGGATTGGTATTCATTGCATTTTCTGGTTCCAAGTTCAGAGCTCTCACAGTCTACCCTAAGCCTTAGCCCCTGCAGACCCAGCAGCTCACCTCTGTCCGGTCTATTTTAAATGGGTTCTGGAAGTCAGAGTCTTTCTCACTGATCCCCAGCTCCTGGGCCATCTGTGGATGAGAAAGCTAGTCATGTTCTTCTGCCTTCTGTTCCCCGATTAACAGAAAACCATGCAGGGACTTAAGCCTCAGACCCCAGGCAGATGTGGGACAGAAACAATCCCTAGGGATCCTCCAAGTCAGCACAGAATGCCTTGAATTAGGCCTCCATGACCCAAAGTGCCCTGAAACGCACAAACAAGGATAACCGACAGGACCAACCACAGACAGGTTAGAGGTTCCCAGCCCTCTTACCAGTCCTTACCAGGTTGAGGATGGGTGAGTGGGGCCCCTGGTCAAAGACACCTGTCTGATTGCAGAAGCTGATGCCCCACCGGATGAGGAGGTTCCAGTTGGAATTATGGTCAAAGTAGTGGTGTACTATCTTTGGGAAGCGCAGAACCACATCACCAAAGAATGCTGTGTTCTCTACCACGTGGGAGAAAGCTGGCAAGAGAATCTTAGTGAGTCATCAGGGTAGTTGCTCTTCTCTTGTCCACCCAGCTGGCCACAGACCTCCTCCAAGAATGTAGGCATCACTAAACCCACACATCAGAGAAGGACCAGCACCTACTGATCACAGACTGCTCATCCCATGTGCAGTATGCACTAGGGCCTTATCCCCCACTGATGGACTTTAGGGGGAAAGAGTACTGCTGCTCCTATTTTATAGAATGTGTCGGTTAGGTGTTTGTTTTGTTTGTTAATTTTTTTCTTTTTCAATTTTCAATCTGACATAAACTGGAGTCATCTGGGGAAGGAAACTTTAATCAGAGAATTGCTTCCATCTGATTGTGGGCTTTTTCTTTTCTTTTCCTTTTTTTTTTTTTTTTTTGGAGACAATGTTTCTCTGTAGCTTTGGAACCTGTCCTGGAACTCACTCTGTAGCTCAGCTTGGCCTCTAACTCAAAGATCTGCCTGCCTCTGCCTCCCAAGTGCTGGCACTAAAGGCGTGTGCCACAGCCTGGCTACTGTGGAGCATTTTCTTGATGGATGATTAACATGAGGGGGACCCAGCCTACTGTGGGTACTTCCACTATCAGCTTATATAAGAAAGCAGGCTGAGCAAATCATGTGGAACAAGCCAGTAAGCAGCTCTCTTCCATGGTCTCGGTGTCAGTTCCTGTGTTAGCTTCCCTCGATGACAGACAGCAACCTGTGAGCAAAAGAAACCCTATTCTTCCTAGTTGATTTCAGTCAAGGTGTTTATCACAGAAACAGCAACAAACCAGGACACAGTTAGAAGACTGAGGCGTAGTGACAAATGAGTGTCAAACCAAGGCGCAGACCTGGGTGTATGTTCAGACACACATGTTGCACTGGCACTCACAGCAGTACATCAGTCAATAAAAAACCAGGGCTCATGAGTTCAAGGTCATCCTTGGCTATAGAATCATGGGGTCAGCCTGGGATACATAAAATCCTAGGTATTCCCCTTGTTTTGAAAAAATATTGGTTTACTTTGTGAATCAGAGATGGGCACTGTTTTATACAAAGATGCTTTAGCCATGCAGCCAAGTCTCTAGAGCAGTGACTTGGTGTTAGCTGTCTGTGCAGGGTCAGTTCTGTCAGGATGGCCAGCAAGAAGCTCAAAGTTGTAGTGTTTTTAAAAAAAAAATATTCTTTCCATTTGATTTTCTTTTTGCTTGACAGGGGGTTTTATGTAGCCCAAATGGGACAGAGACTTATTATGTAACCAAGGATAACCTTGAACTCCTGATCCTGCCTCTACCCACCAAGTGCTGGGATTACAGGGGTGCACACTTGATGGGGGATGCCCTTCTGTATAATGTGAATATATGTTTCTCTTATTGGTTGATGAATAAAGCTGTTTCCGCCAATATACAGGCAGGATTTAGCCAGGTTGGAAATCCAAACAGGGATAGAAAAAGGTAATAGATGGAGTCAGGGAGATGCCATGTAGCTGCCCAGGAAGCAAGAGGTCTAGGCATTACTAGTAAGCCAAGACCACATGAAGATACACAGATTAATAGAAATGGGTTAATAATTAAGAGAGAGCTAGCCAATAAGAAGCCTGAGCCATCAGTCAAACGGTTTATAATTAATGGAAGTCTCTGTGTATTTATTTGGGACTAAATGGCTGCAGGATTGGGCAAGACAGAAACTTCCATCAACACACACCATAACTAAACTTAATTTTCTGTTAAGTGCTTACTCTCTCTCTCTTTCAATAGTGTCTTTGTGTGGCCAAAGGCTAGCCTAAAACTCAGTACATAGCTCAGGTTGGCCTTGAATTCACGATCTTCCTTCTAAAAGTTAGGATTATAGGTATGCAACACCACTCCTGGCTTACTTTGAAATTGCCTAGACTTATTTGCTACAACATAAAACTCCTTCACCCTGCTCTCTCTAATGCATTGTTATCTAAACCAGGAAATTAACAACAATATATTAACTTAGCTATAGCTATTTGACATTTGAATTTAGTCAGTTTTCCCACAAATGTCCTTCCTCTAATGAAGTCAACAGATCAGTTTACACTGGGGCTAGAGTGTTCATTCTAATTACAGATAAGAGCCATATCTTCACTCCTAGAGTAGAGGGGACCCAGACAGCCCTGCCTAGCACCAGCTGGGCATTGCAGGCAGAAACCAACATGTGGGGGCCATGGACCCATGGACTTAGAGTAATTTTGACACTCAGAGAACGGAAGAGTAAGTGCTTCTGAGAGGGGTGCCAAGGCAAATAACTTTTTCTCCTCCAAATGGAAAGCAGTAGCAACTCACAGGCACAAGGGGTGACCCCTATAAAAGTTTTCATTCACACACAACCCATTCCCTCCTCTCAGTGACTCTAAGAACTGCTATTGCTAACAGTTGTCACTGGTTAGAACAGGCTTTTAATCCCAGCACTCAGGAGCCACAGGCAGGCAGATCTCAATAAAATTTGGAGCCAACCTGTTCTACATATCAAGTTCTAGGATAGCCACATTTACATAGTGAGAAAAAACAAAGATGTGATCTGATAGTAGGCATGAGTGAGGAGGAACTACCATTGAAGATAATTTCTTGCAAGAGGGGACAAAGGGACATGAAACATCCCTACATCTGACTTGTTTTTCTCATCTTGTCTGAAAAGAGACTAAGGGGTTTGAGTTTTTCACTCTAGTAGCAAAGAGTGCTGGCAGTCACACTGACTCAGCTATTTAACGAGCCTCAGTCATTTCTCCTTTTAACAGCAACAACTCCTATTTGCCTTCCCAAAGTGACTGGCAGACTCTGCCCTGGCCCTTGGCATGGTAGTAGGCAGACTCTTTTCTGGTTCCTCTGTCCTAAGCACAGGATAGCATAAAGAAGAATGTGCTAAGGACAGAGAAATTGGCTACAGACCCCAGAGATGTTTACAAAACCACAAACTAGGCCCTTATCTACTCTAAGCCAACTACTCAGGTATTACATGAGGATATTCCCAGAGGACAAATGACAAGAACAGAGAAAGACCATCTGGAGAATGCCAGGGTGGTAGGAAGCAAAGTGAACTGTTGGAGAGACCATACCATCCTTCAGCTTCTCGTCCTGGGGGAAGGGCCCATCTGGGAGCACATCGGCAGCAGTGAGCACTGTCCTGGAGTCCTCCAGCACCTGAAGGAACCCCATGTTGGCTAAGTGGCTTTGTGGTGGCCTTCACACCCTAGCTCCAGCCCCAGTTACCTGACTCCCACTCCAACTCCCTCATTGAACACTATCCTCTCAGAGAACTCCAACTCATCCATCAGTGCACAAATCAGAGCCCTGTCCTGCTGTGAGCTTCCCTGTTCCCTGACACACCTTAAAGAGTCCCTTAAGCATGACATCAAGGATCTTGTACTGCTGGTGAATGTCATTCAACTGCGCCAGGTTCTTCAGTGCCAACAACTGTTCCCGCCGCTTCACCTCAAACATCTTCTTGTCTGAGCACCATTAAGTTAAGGCACTAGCAGAAAAGCCCTACCTGGACAACCCAATGGCCTTGACTCAGAGGGTCCCTTCCTAACCTGTGCCACTAAAAACCTTGGATAGCCACGTTGGGACGCCCCTGGGAAGAGATGGACTGTTATGAAGTATACAGGTCCTGTAATGTACCATATCTCCAAATCTCAGAGACTCCATACCCAGAAAAGAGCTGAAACCCAACACTCCAAGTCCTGGCACCTCCCCTCCCATTCCTGTGTCTTCCTGTCATCTCTCATAAATCATTCATTGTTCCAGGACCTCCAGTAATCTGTTTAAACTAACCTCTCAACCTGAGATGCCCCCACCATTCTCCCAGAGTTTCTATCCTCAGGACCTTGCTCAGAAGGTCCATAGTACAGTGTTTCTTCCAAGACCTCCTGTATCCACCCAAGCCTCCATCACAGAGAACAAAGGCCATTCATTTGGATGTTGTGGTTTATATGAAAATGATCCCCATGTTTGATTCAGTTTGATGGACCCTTTAGGAAGGATTAGGAGGTGAAATCATTATCTTGTTAGAGGTGTGTCACTGGCGGTGGGCTTTGAGGTTTCAAAAGCCTACACCAGACCCAGTCTCTTTCTCTCTGCTCCTGCCTACAGATCAGATATTAGCTCTCATGTACTGCTTCAGCACCATGCTACCCATCATGATCATCAAGGACTAGCCCTCTGAAACTGTAAGCAAGCCCTCAATTAAATGCAGCCTTGGTCATGGTTTCTCTTCACAGCCACGGAACAGTACACATGCTTTCTCCTTCTAGCTCTGTGGATGTCTCAAAACCAAGGTAGCCTTGTCTCATCCTTGTATTGGCAAAGTATGGTTCAAAGGACAAATATCAAGATAAGCTAATAATCCAGAGCTCCAGAGGACCCGCCCCAGGCCTCACCAGCCAGGCACTATACACCTACACTCCTTACTAGGCCTTTGCCAATCTGAGAGATGGGCCTAAACTTCAGCTTACAGGGAACTGGCTCAGGAGAAGACTGACTTGCTAACAGTCTGGCTAGAGCTTGTCTCCTCCTACCTCCCATTCTTTGCAACTCTGTCTGCTCATCCCTGGAATTCCCCCCAAGGAGTTATGGGCACTGAGAGATCTCATTTACCAGCTCTTCAAGGACAGCACTCACTCACCCTACCCAATCCCCAAAAAGATACAAATCTTGAGGCTCGGGTCCAGGGTGGTCTTTAGGGTGCCTGTAATTTCTGTGCCAAACAACAGGACAAAGAAGGACACCAGGAACTGAAGGAGGTTCATATCTGAGACTCTGGAGCTAGAGGAGTAAACCAAAGAAGGCTAGTGAGTTCAGTGAAAAAAATCAACTTCCCCAGACATGGCCCAACCTCCAAATACCAAGAACCCAGCTTCAGGAGGCCCTGAAGATATAGCCAGGGCTAGTAATGAACTTGAACACAAAACAGGCCTATGGGATTGCAGGAAAGAGGAAGAGAGACCTTAGCAATGCTTACAATGCACAAGGATGAACTGAGCCTAGAGCTCAAAGTTAGAGTCTTGACCACAGCTGCCTTTGTTACTGGGCAATTGACCCAGCTCTCTAAACCATAGCTTTCTTACCTGTAAAATGGGGCTAAGGAGGTCTCTTTCCTGATGCAGAAAGGTGGGTCTGGATGATGTATTATGTCTGAAGGAAGGGGCTGGTCAATGGCCTTCCTCTCAATTCCCAACCACAGCCTCCTAGGAGAGTATCAACCAGGAAGACTCAGGCAGTGAAAAAGTATGCAAAACTTGTGTGGTTTCCCTCCTTCCACAACTACTTCTAACATCAGAAAGAAAGGACAGGGGGGAAGGGGGGAAGCATGGCAGTCTTCGGTGATACCACTCACTCACTTGGGAACCACAGGAGCCACTGGCAACATCTATGCCTATTCCAACAGCCCACAAGTATCAACTAAGTACAGTTGCAGACAATTCTAGAGCTGGGAACACACACACAATAAGTATGGCAAGCCAAACAGACCATACTTCATTCCTTGTGTAGGTAAGAGACAATCAACAAACATACAAATATATATAATAATAATTTTTTAAAAAAGACAGTACTAGGGAGGTGATTTGGTTGGTATAGTTGGAAACATGAGGACCTGAGTTTGATCCCCAGCATCTACGTACAAGCTGGGCACAGTGCATGTTTGTGGTCCTAGAGTTGGAGGCAGAACTATTCCTGGAGCTCACTGGCCAACTAGTCTGGCTGAATCTAGGAGCTACAGGTTCAGTGAAAGACCTTGTCTCAAAAAATAGGGTACAGTACAATTAAGGAAAACATTTAATATTGACTCTGGCTTCCACATGCACACACGGAGGTGTACAGACATGAATACATACACAATTTAAAAAGAAAATGAGAGAAAGCTGATCAGGTACAATAGGCAGGAGAACTTCCTTAAGTTTGAGACCAATCTAGGCTACATGGTGAGATCTTGTCTAAAACTCCAAAGTGGATAGAATGGGGGTGGAAGACAAAAGTCAAGGGGAGACCTCATATTCAGATACCCAGTTTTACTAATGTGGGAACTGAGGGACAAAAATAAACAATTAAATGAATGAATGAAGTGGCTGTTCAGAGCTTCACAGTTGTTCCTACACTGAGGCAAAATCCGATGCTCAATTCACTGCTCTTGTCTCTAAGCAAAGGACACCTCATATCAAAGCTGGCCACACCCCACCCCCAGAGTTTTAGTTGCTCAGTGAGAGGCCATTAGAATTCTGCCTGATGTAAATGGGACAGCTGAAACCTAGGGAAGAACTCCAAGATCACCCAAGACTCCTCTCCCTTCGATTCACTTTCTAGGACCCAAAGGAACCTGAACCAGGCCACAGAAAAACTAAGGTAAACAGAAATTTACCAGACAAATGAACTCAAGCGAGGCAAACGTGAAAAAAAGAAGCGGACTGTGGTGACAGGTTTGGTTTTCTTTACTGGAACTCTACTACACGGCCTCTAAACCTCGCTTCTGTCCCGAGCGTCCCCAGAGCTCTTCCAGTCTCAGCAAGAGACTCGGAACTAGAGCTAGTGGTAGTGGGCGACAGCTGGCTAGTTCCAAGTGTTGGGGCTTCCGAGGGGCTAGCGAGCCCTTGTAAGAGGTGTCTTGACACCCGGACGCAGAGCGGAGAGCTCAACACTTCCCTCCTAAGAAGCTGACACTACAGCCCGGCAACCCCGCCACCACCTACCCCGGCCGGCGGCGCAAAAAGGTGAGGGCAGTCCCTCAACGAGCTCAACTGCCGGAAGTAACCAACTCTGGTGAAACCGCGGAACTCCAGAGCACCTAGCCAGCCGCACTAGGAGATCGACCAGTGGCCGTCCCACCCACTGCGCTGCTCCGAACCAATGATATCGGGCCGCGACCCACTGCGCTCCCCTGACTTCACTTCCGGCCACGCCCCTGCTGGGTTCGGGTGCCTATCGCTGCAGCTGTCCTCCCAGGCGCGGTTCAGGCGAAGGCGTCTTGAATTTTGGCACGGCGGATCTTGTTTCTGGTCGAGTTGGAGGAAGTTAAGCTGCGGTGGGGCCTTTACCTTGCTTAAAGGGCGTCAGCAAGCCCAGGCCCGAAACCCTGGCTGCCCGGGCAATATAAGTGCGGTGACTGATGTCTCATCTCAAGTCTTGTTTAAACCGCAGTTCATAAGATCCAAAGAACTTTAACTAGCAGAATCCGTAGCGCGGAACGCGGGCACCCCCTACTTGCCCTTCCAGTCCATTAATGTCTAAACCAGAGTTCTCCACCTATTCATACATCTTCAGTTTTGCTCGGGGGTGGGGGTTTTGGGGCGGGGGTGTCAGGACAGCTAGGTCTGGGGAAAACAGGTGGAGAGACCAGTTAGAGCACAAAGGCCCAGGCTGGGCTGCTACACAAAACGGGTGTGGGCAGAGTTGTGGGCCAGCAGCCAGCAACCGTAGATGTTAAATGACCTCTTGCCCATGTGGGTAGAGAAAAGGGCTTTGAGAGGGCTGGCTTGAGCCAGGGGAGCTGAGGCAGATTTGCTCAGTGAGGCAGACTGAGGGTTTGATTTTCTTTGTCTTGAGATTTATACCTCTCCCCATGACCACTGAGGTAAAGTACCTCTCAGAGTTCGAGGTAAAGTACCTCTCAGAGTTCCAAGCACAAAACTCTTCTCTACCCTCGCAGCTCAAGGTCCTCTTCATGTTCTATATGGAACAACAAGGAGGACTCCGCACATGCTCCTTAAATGCTGTCAGTCTCCACTCTGTCTCTCTCCATCCTTTGTTGAAACAACCCAGTGTCCAACTGACTAGCTGAGGAACAAGTTCCAGAAAGATGAGTTAAGAATGAAAGTCCACACAGGAATATGAACCAAGTTTTATTTCCCAATTCCATTTCCATTGTGGAGTAAAACAGCTACAGACGAAGGACTGAGGTTGTCATTTTTCCATCAACAATTGTCCTGAATTTGTTTACAGGTCTCAACTTCTGTTTTTGGGCCTTGATGTCCTTAAGGCTCAGCCTCTGATGTGGGACAGGGAAACAGATACACCTCCAAGGCAGCTGGCATGAAACATGAGAGGGAATAAAAGAGAAATGGAACTAAAGGAATAGGGAGGGGATATCACACTACCAGAGCCCCAACAGAGCAAGGACAGTCAGATAAGAGCATGGATGCAGGGCTGGAGAGATGGCTCGGCAGTTAAGAGCACTGGATGTTCTTCCAGAACTCAGGTTCAATTCCCAGCACCTACATGGTGGCTCACAACTGTCTGTAACTCCAATTCCAGGGGATCTGATGCCCTCACACATACATACATACATGCAGGCATAATCCCAATGCACATAAAATTTTTTTTTAAAAAAAAGAGAATGGATACTTCTAAAATTGGTGGCATGGATTCCAAATTTGGAACTAAGCAGTTGCTAATATACCAGAGTACTGTTTCGTGAAAGGAGAAAGAATAGCAAAGGAGTAGCCAGTATGGGTTAAAAGTGTTCCTTCTCCATACACAGAGGTATTATAATATCTCCAGCACATCATAATCTAGGGAACTGTAGTTACCAGAACAGCTAGGCTTTAAAGCTTTGCCCATCTCCCCCTCTCATCCCCCCCACCACACACACACTTTTCAAGACATGGTTTCATGGTTTTTCTGTGTAACAGCTCTGGCTGTCCTGGAACTCAGTTTGTAAACTAGGCAGGCCTCAAACTCAGAGCTCCACCTGCCTCTGCCTTCTGAGTGCTGGGATTAAAGGTGTGTGGCACTACCACCTAGCAAATCAATCACTCTCTCTTCCTCTACAACAAGGTGTTGCTATGAAGCCCAGGCTGCATGAAAAGTTAAGATCCTCTTGCCTCAGCTTCCTGAGTTCTGGGGTTTACAGGTATGTGCTATCATTACTGGTCTCAACCCTAGGCTTCCTTAGGGACTTGGCAGTCATCAGCCCTCCCTACTTGGACTGGGAGAAAGCAGAATGCTACAGCCTCCACGGCCTTAGTGATGTTGCCCAGGCCAAAGTCCCCAAATGCAAGAAAGGATACAGCATATCTTCAAGGGGTGGCTGGGCTGGGAAGGTGCTGGAGCAAAGGTCCTCCAAGGAGGCCTGCAAAGTCTGGATTGTCTTTCGGTCAGTCAGGAGACCCATACTCTGGACCTGTAGGAGAAGGGACAGGAGAGACAGACCCTCTCTAACTGTCCCCCACCATCCATATTCTTGACTTCCCAATCACTTAAGTGATCAGAGCTTCCCCTCTCCACAAAGAAGATGGTCTTGAGGTTCTAGCCTCGTACAACTGCATAGCATCCTTTCCCCATTCACCTGCAGGAAGAAGCCATGCAGAGCCTGGAGTGTATCATTTGGGAGAGTTGACAGATCCACCAAAGCTGCACCTTGCAAAATACGACTCACCTCTTCATCAGACAGGATGTTGCTGCTCTGGTACTGCACAAACTAGCACAGAAGAGAAGCCCCAAATATCCATAATTAGAGGAGATGCCATCTCTGTTCCCAGAACTGAGCCAGGAACACTGTTCTAAAGTGTAGGGTCCTGCTTTTAAGCGCTACACTGGTGGGAATGGGTGGGAATGTCTCATGGGGGAGCACAGCACATGAGGTAGACTGAGATCCTGAGAGAGCTGGCTTCGGGGATTTCTTCATCAGGCTCCCTCCTCCCCTAGCCTTGTACAGCCAAGATGAACTGAGTGTGGTTCCTCTAACTTCCCTATGTGCTCTTGACCTACCCTCACCTCCCTTACTAGAATACTGTCTCCTTCTGCCTACTGATCCTTCAAGCTTCAGCTGAAACATTACCTACAGGTCACAAAAGCAATTACTTTTCTCTGTGTGTCACCTCTGATTTATTTCTGGGTGGCCTTCACTGTCATCCATGAGTTTGTTCCTCTGTTCTTTATTCAACAAAAATTATTATGTGCCAAATACTCTATCACTCAAAATATCAAACATAACTATTCATTTACTTGTCTTTCTCCTTTTCTAGAATGAGGGACCTCTGGAGGCAGAGTATGTGGCTCTGCCATATCCTTGGTACCTAGACCCTGGTCATTGTTTCATGAAAGAAATAAGAGAAAATGTGTCATAAGGTTATATGCAATTATTCACAGGAAATCCCTGGGTAGGTCTCTTGTAGGGTGAAGGCTACCCAATTCCTCTGCTCCTTGAAGATTAGAATCATCTAAATACCATTGTGTTTTGACCTTTTTTAGTACCACCTGTTGATATCTTCCAGCCTTAGGGCCATCCTTTCCGCACTTACCAAGGTCATAAGTTTCAGTATATCAGGTCTGAGGAAGGAATTCTCTCCAGCATCCAAGAGGGTGAACAGCAAAAATCGATTCCAGGGCTGGGAGGCCACATGGAATGCTGCAAGAAAGATCAGTCCTCAGGTGGTTAATGCTGTTCTTCCAGAACCCAGGAGTATGCCCAAAAAAAGGAGTTTCACCTATTGGCTTAAAGTAAAATAAAAAGGTGCTCAGCTGCAGGCAGGCTGGATTTATGAGGTCTCTTGCCTGGACTTCTACCCACCTATATGGACTCTCAGTGAAAAAGTCTATCTTGAGGCTATGAGAGGTAGACAACTGGAAGATCTCTGCTACTTAGGAGCATTATGACCATGGTTAGGTAGATCACTTGAACACTCTCATACTCAGTGCCCACATCTGTACAATGAGCATGACAGTGTCCTTTGCAGTGTTGTTAAAGCACTGGAGTGGTAAGATAACAGGAGTTGATCCCTTCCAATCTTGATCATGGGAAAATGAGAGAATAAAAGAAGGTTTCTACCAATGTCTGGGCTCCTGGCATGCAGGTAGTCAAGCAAGGCTTCCAGACAGCCAACACAAGCTTGAGATAACAGAGGGTCTTTCTGGAAAACAAAACAAAACAGAAAAACAAAAGCAGAATTAGGGTCAGGATTCATTTGTTTTTCTGAGACAGGATCTCATGTAGTCCAGACTGGCTCCAAACTCCAGGAGATAGATAGATAGATAAATAGATAGATAGATAGATAGATAGATAGATAGATAGATAGAGTTGGTTTTGGTTATTTAGATTTTATTTTTTCAGATACGGAATACATTCCTATGGATAACTTTAAAAAGCTTGTTAGCTGCCATGCATTGGTGGCACATACCTTTAGTCCGAGCACTCAAGAGGCAGAGGCAGATGGATCTCTGTGAGTTCAAGGCCAGCCTGATCTACAGAGTGAGTTCCGAGACAGGATCCAAAACTACACAGAGAAACCCTGTCTCAAAAAACAACCAAAAAGAAAGGAAGAAAGAAAGAAAGAGCTTATTAGATTCGTTGCTGTGGTGATATATTGTTTATGATTTACTAAAGCTTGACTGAGGATTCAGAAAGCAAAGTCAGACACAATCCTAGGACTCCAGATTAAAAGGTAGATGGATCTCTGCAAGTCCAAGGCCACCCAGATCTACATAAGACATATATAGTCCCACCCAGCTCATGTCTTTGATCCCAGCACCTGGGATCATACACCTTTAATCCAAGAATTAAGGTGCTATATAAAATAGGAACAAGGTTAGTATCAGACATTCATTTTCCAGCCACATTAAAGATAGGAGCATTCATTTTCCAGCCACATTGAAGATAGGAACACACTGAAGTCTCAGGATTCTCCAGCTATACTGAGGAGAGGCAGCAATCTGAGAAGACTGGATTGCCTTTCAATCTGAGATAGAGTGAGAGCTAGTGCCTGTTGCTTTGCTTTTCTGATCTTCATCTTGAATCCCCATATCATCAGTCT